GGAGTTTTCAGGTAAGTGACACATTAAACAACAAATTTGGATAACAGGGTCTTCTAGATAAGAGAGATTCTACTTTGCTACAGAAAGCAGATTCAGAAAGCCAAGAGGCTTTGAAGTCATGCAAAAGGCATGAAGTTCAAGGCAAGAGAATCACAACCAAAACAGTTAGAGCTGGCCAGAGCATGAGATTTCCATTTCATGGCAATTGTCAAGGTTTTGACATTTGTTTTCCTTCCACACTGGAACAAAAACAAAACCTTTTAAATGTTTTTGCCAAATGGAATTTTGTTGAAAAATCTGCTCTCTCTCACTCTGTGACCAGGGAATCCATCTTGGACTTCAAAAACCTTCCCATCAAAAACTTTGAAATTGATATATCTCCATAAAACGTTTCAGCTTCAATGAAATAACATTTTAAAAAAATGTTTCAACAAAAATGTTCTGACCAGCTCTACCAATATTTTTAAAATGCCTTACTGACAAACTAGATTACATAAAAGGTGTTTTTCTTACCTGTTAATAATGAACCATGCTACGGTCAGCATTCCTGCCAACCAAGTCCCACTCATAACCCAACTGGTTACAAATAATGCAGCCATATAAATTCCCTGCAGTCCAAAAACTATACCAATGTAGAAATACACTGGCTCGATAACCTCCTGAAATTACAAATAAAAGTAAAGACACATAGTAGCAACTAAGCTGAAATTGTAAATTATGACTATATACTGCTAACAGGGTGCTAGATACTTTACAGACAGATAAAATATGCTCCCTATCATAAGAGCTTATGTTTTAAGTATACAACATAAAAATGCTCCGGGATAGAGTGTGTGTGTGTGTGTGTACAAAACAGAGTGAATTAACATCAGAGTTTAGCACACATCTTTGTGCTATGATCTGGGGTTTGTATTAATAGTGAGGATTACCCACTGATCAGGTTTGATAACACCTTACTGCAGTGAGATTTTAAGTATATAGGCCTCTTGAAGGGAGAGAGTTTAAAGGAGGAACTTTGGAAAGAGACAAAGGACTTTTCTAAGTGTAAATATTTTGCCACTTTACCTATACTGATTAACCTCTCCCCATGCCCCCCCCAAAAAGCATAGAGGGAGGCCAGGTCTACACTACAAAGTTTTGTCAACATAGCTATTTTGGTCAGGGATGTGAAAAAACCCACAGCCCCTAGCCAACATAGCTATGCCAGCAAAACCCCAATGCAGATGCAGCAATGTTGAAAGAAGAGAACTTCTGTCCACGAAATATTCGGGGAGGTGTGATGTTACTATGCCAACAGAAAAACACCTTCTGCAGGCATAAGCTGTGTCTACACTAGGGGGCTTGTCTGGTATAGCTATACTGGCAAAGCATTTGTACTGTTGACCAGGCCGCAGTTATATCAGTATAAAAGTGCTTATACCAGTATACTTTGTTCCAGTTTGGGAACCAAAATAAGCTATATTGGTATAAGGCACTTCTAAACCGTATAGCTGTATCTACATTAGATGTGTTACTGAATGGAAAAAAAACCACCCTCCAACCAACAGTTATGATGATAAAACTTTCAAGTGTAGACCTGCTCAAAACAGAAGCTGGCTAGACTGTGCAGGGCCTTCTAGCTTTTATTGCAGAAACAATTTAAATCAGTATGGTAGATTTAGATTTCAAAGTCCTTTCCAAAACATTATTTAATCCTCCCTTTGTGAAGTAAGCCTGACTTACTAAATTGTGATTTGCCCAAGGTCACGTGGGATATGTCTACAATAAACTTCTGCAGACATACAAATTGACTATCAATTAACTCAAGGGGTTAACATATGTAAAGGCTAGCGTAGACATTCCCCACACTTTTGAAACAGGCTACAAATGTAAAGAACAAACAGCACTAAGTAAAGAAGTCTAGCATAGACAAGCCCAGAGAGCCTGTCAGAGACTGGATTAGAGCTCAGGAGACCCTGGATCCCAGTGTTATGCTCAGACCACATCCTTTCAACACACATAGCAAACAAAACTTCATACCCCTATCATACTGTAAAAATAAAAGCAAAGCCGAAGAGGTACACATACTTCGCTACCAGATGCTTGATATAAAACACTGGCAATCAACTCTGGATACAATGTCATTTGCTGCACTGCATTTATAGTCCTCAGCGATACAGTTTTATTGTTGTGTGTCAGCTCATAAACACCTGAAGGCAGAAAAGATTTTTTCTAAAATCAGTTATCCTGCTTGTAGGAACAACAACAGTAATATTAGTGTAAAAGCAGGATGGCAGTAGATCAGACTATTAAGACTACTGACTGATACACCCACACATAATTTAAAAAGAAGAAGAAAGGACTGTGCTAGATGCAACCTCACCCTGATTATTTTGAGGAAGTCAGCATTAAGTTATTTCCATTTATAAACATTAGTTGAGCTAGCCTTTAAATTTAGAGTCCAAGTTCATTGCCTAAAGCTTAGTCTATTCAGTTCCTAATATACAGCATGATTTTTAAAACTGTTCATTTGATGCAATTTATCCCTTCCCAGACAATGGAATTTGGTGTATACTTTCTTAATCACATTTTGAGGTTAACATGAAAATCAGAAAGGGAAAAGCCACTGAGAAATTAAAGATCATCCACATCTTTAAAAAAGCGGTATGTATATTTATAAATAAACAAACATGCATGCATAAATTCCAGAAGACAGGGCAGCAACTTCACAAATGGAAATCAGAATTTATATACATACAGTTCAGTGTCAGAATAAGATTCATTTCAATTAACACCATTAGCGAACTAAGGTAGCTCAAAGGAATCCATAGAGTAGATGAGAGTTTATTATTTTTTTGCAAAGATCTGAAAGTGTTCGGTCAGCATGATTCTGACCCTTATACCTATATAGGAGTCTAAAACCAACTTTCTTAATCTACAAGAGTGTTTGACTGTCTCAAAGGGGAAAAAGGACTTTTCAAAGTTAATAAATAACTGTAAACTAATCTAAAAGATTGTTTAAAGTTACAGAACGAAGAACATGCTCAAAAACTATGCTCCTCCGACAACACCACTACTGAAACAAGACTCTTCACTGCACATGCATCTCCCTTTGGGAAGAGGATGAGAAAACAAACAACACATGATACATGTGTTGTCATGTTGCTTAATGTACTACTGGAAGGAACTCAGATATTCTGGTGATAAGCACAGTATAAAAACCTATATAGAAGTGACTAGAATAAATGTTTGTCATACCTCTTTCAAAGGAAGGAGCCTTTAGCAGTTCTTTATAAAATGAGTAATAAATGGCACTGTCACCCTGAAATGTAATCTCTCGTTCAAGTTCCTAGAAGAAAATAAAATAATTAAATATATATTTGCCTCCTATAATTTCTTCTTCTAAAAGCCCACATATTTTCAGATAGGCTAGTTTTGTAATATAGCATATGGTTATGAAGCCATATCTTCAAAATATTAATCTTCACTGCACCCCGGTCATATATGTATTGTTACCTATAATGTACAAATCCTGAAACTGACACTGAGAATCAAAGCGACTTGCCCAAAACCACATGGTAAATCAGTCAAACTAAGCTCGGCCAGGCTCTGTCCTCCCACCACTACAGCTGCCCTAGCAGCTCTCAGGCATTCCCAGTACCGCGCCCACTGTTGCTGCTTTGGTGACATGGTCCTGGTTTTAGAATGTTCATATTCACATATTATTTTGAAATGCTGCCAAAAATTTTATGAGCAATGCGTCTGAGGAAGTGGGTATTCACCCACGAAAGCTTATGCTCCAATACATCTGTTAGTCTTAAAGGTGCCATAGGACTCTGTTGCTTTTTACAGATCCAGACTAACACGGCTACCCCTCTGATACTTGACAAGAGAAATGGTGATTTTCAGTTTGTATCTCAGCAAAACCTGAACAGAATGTCACAGGATAAAGAAAAGGCACTTCTCTAACCCAGGGGCTTTCCTCATGCAAAATTTTAGAGACATGCTCCGAACAACATAGTCGTTAAAGTATCTTAAAAAGAGGTCACAAGAATCTTAGAATAGAAAGCCCTAAGCAACCTAAATATAGAAGGTGCTACCAGCTGTCCATACAATGCTTTGCAGGGACAGCTTAAAAATCAACATGATGGTTTCCAAATATTTGTAGGTCTAGTACAGGGGTTCTCAAACTGGGGGTCAGGACCCCTCAGGGGGTCACGAGGTTATTACATGGGAGAGTCGCGAGCTGTCAACTTCCACCCCAAATCCTACTTTGCCTCCAGCATTTATAATGGTGTTAAATATATAAAAAAGTGTTTTTAATTTATAAAGGGGGTCGCACTCAGAGGCTTGCTATGTGAAAGGGGTCACCAGTAAAAAAGTTTGAGAGCCACTGGTCTAGTACATCTAGAACAGATCTTATATAGTACAGCATCTTTTGCCAACATAACACAGGTAAAACACATCATATGGGTGTAACACATCTCTTAAAACTTCTAGGTTATTTTGGCTATAAAGAGTGTTTTCTCAACAAGACAAGAAGTATAAAACCTAGTTAGTGTACTGATGTTGTCAAAACAAGAACACCAGATGGAAACCAGCAAAGCTTGCTTAGATGATTACATACTAAAATATATACATAAGGTATAACAGCTCTCTCATTAGTATAGTGCAGGGATCGGCAACGTTTGGCACGCGGCTCGCCAGGGTAAGCACCCTGGCGGGCCGAGCCAGTTTTATTTACCTGCTGACGCAGCAGGTTTGGCCGATCGCGGCCCCCACTAGCCGCGGTTCGCTGTCCCTGGCCAATGGGGGCGGCGAGAAGCTGCGGCCAGCACATCGCTCGCCCGTGCCGCTTCCCGCTGCCCCCATTGGCCTGGGACGGCGAACCGCGGCCAGTGGGGGCTGCGATCGGCCGAACCTGCCGCG